AGGGTCCCATTTAAAATTTTTGGTCACAGTGGCCTTGTGACGTCATTTATGACTATTGCGTCACCTGTTATGACCAGTTAAGAAGCCTACATCCGTTTATTTCCACCCTCCAAATTTCATTATTAGAAGTATACCCGTTCAAAAGATACGAGGGGGGGAGGGGACTTTTGACTAGCACTGTATAGTGCTATCGAAAATAAACAAGATAATCACAGAAGCCATAGAAATCTATAGCTTGTTCGTGATAATTGTAATTAACTGTATAAATACTTAATCTAACATTGAAAGATAATGAATGGTGAATTAATCAATAACCTTATTAACAGAGACAGTAGTTTCAGACAGAATACATAGTTATTTTCGTCTGCTCAACTAATGCTAAAGTTAAATTGCTGTTTGAAATAGTTTGATTAACAAAATCAGAAAAGGAAGCTCTTTCGGTATTCAGAATGAATTTCTTTGCTTCTCTCTTAAACATGTGAGAACTGTTGACATTTTTTATTTTTTCTGGTAATATTTGGTATAAGCGTGGTTCGAGATATGTTGCATTTCTTTGTCCTATGGTTTTGTCACATCGTGGTGCATTTGAAGAGTTTCCCTTTATTCTAGTATTGTAGGAGTGGATGATTGGTTCTATTTTGATGTTTCCTTTTTCACATTACTGAGTATGCTCATACAAAAAAAGTTGTCAAATATTACATACATTCGCTTCTTTAAATAAGGCAGCAGTTGGATGAGTTTTTTCCTATTAAATATAATCTTCAGTATACATTTTTGTATGACATTCAGATTCCTAAGATAACAATCATTCACTCCTCCCCAACCTATTATACCATAGGATAGTTGGGCGATGTACAATGTGCGATGTACAATGTTTTCAAATGTTGAATGTCAAGAAAGTTTTTCAAGTTATTGAATTTAGAAAGTGTACCTCTTAACTTTCTGATTATTTCTTTCATATGTAGGTGCCATCGAAAATGTCTATCTAAATAGATACCTAGATATTTTATTGACTCGCCTTCAGGTATGTGATTATTGTTTCCTATATTTAGGGGTCCCATATGGGGTAATGTACTTCAGTATGATGTGAAAGGCAAATATTTGGTTTTTTCGAAATTGATCGTAAGTTTATTGTCTCAGAACCATTTTTCGATCTCAATGAAATCTTTTTCTGCAGATATTTTCAATTGGTTCCATGAAGAGTCGGTATACAAGACAGCCGTATTGTCAGCAAAGCTAAAAATTTTACCTTTTGTTGGTATCTGCAATAGTTCATTCAAATATATTGTAAACAGGATTGGTCCTAGAACCGTTCCTTGCGGAACATCATAAGTAACAATTTTGGGATACCTCATAATTCCATCGATACTAACTCTCTGTTCTCGGTCACATAGATAGCTTTCGAAAATGTGTAAGCTTTCCCACGTATTCCGCAGTTCTCTAATTTTCTCAGGAGTTTTGTATGACGGTCTCAAGCTTATTAAACATATATAATTCCTAACTTTTTAGTTCGATGTTTTTCACAAGCGTGTTTTTTATTTTTTTTCCTCTCCTCCGGAGAGGAAGCCTGAAAATCAGCTACCAAGCCCAAGGCAGCGGGCGCACAAAGGAGGGTTACAAATAAGGCAGCAAGCGCTCATGTTAATAAAAAAATACTTTTTTCAAGGCTGATGGGGCTTGTAAGAAATCCAGATTGGTGTCATTACAATTTATGGCTATTGCAAGATCCGAGAAATTGAATGAAAAATATATCTGAGTATCACCAGCGTAAAATGGTAATTACAGTGTTTCAACACGTTCATAAAATCATAAAATTAGAATAGAGTAAATAATAGAT